TCTTGTTGTAGCTACTTCCAATGCATCATGGCATGTGATTCCCATGCAAACTTGCTCAATGCTTCCCTTCGTACTTCCTTCAAGCATTTCTTCATACAATGCCATCTCCTTGCTTTGATCCCCTATCTTTTCTTTGTTCAATAAAACATTCTCAAGGGCATCATTAGAAGTAAGCAAGTACTCATGCATAGAATTCACAATAGAATCTATAATATCAATCATCATGCAATTCTTTAAAGTTGAACATGGATATTTTATGCTTTCTTTCAAATCAAATTCTATTACCTCATCTCCTACTTTAAGTGTTACTTTAGCACTTTTTATATCAATCAAAGCACCCGAAGTAGCAAGAAAAGGTCTACCAAGAATTATGGGAATGTTAGCATTTTCATCCATCTCTAATACTACAAAGTCCATCGGAATGACAAACTTTCCCACTCTTAGAGGAACAGCCTCTACCATACCCTTTGGAAATTTAAACGATCGATCGGCCAATTGTAGGGTAATGTTAGTAGGAAAAAGTTTCCCTATTTCAAGTCTTTGATAAACCGAATATGGCATAAAGCTAACACTAGCCCCAAGATCACACAAGGCATTATCCATTTGCATCTTATATATAGCACAAGGGATAGAAAAGTTACCTGGATCTTTCAACTTTGGTGGCATCTTGTTCATGATAATAACACTACAATTTTCGGTGAGATTCACCATTTCCACCAAATCACACTTTCTCCTTCCACTCAAAATATCCTTTAGAAATCTAGCATATTAGGAATTTGCTTAATAGCATCGGTGAAAGGAATTGAAAGGTGAATTTGTTTCAATGTTTCAAGAAATTTTCCAAATTGCACATCTAATTTGTTTCTCACAAACTTATGGAGATATGGAAGTCTTTGCAATTATTTGGTTTCTCTTTCTTTTTCTTTTTCTTTCTCATTCTCATTATACTTTTTCTTTCTCTTTCTCATTATCTTTCTCATTCTCACAAGCTTTCTCTTCTTCATGCATAAAATCACTCTCAAAATGGAGGCTCACTCATGCTCACTTTCTCATGGTTTTTCTTGGGAACACTCTCTTCCAAAACCTTCCCACTCCTAGTTGCTGTAGCATTGACTAGTCTCTTTGGGTCTAGCCCTTGGGGTGGAAATTTGGAAGTGCTAGCCCCTTCTTTCAAAGCATTGGCCAATTGAGAAATTTGTGTTTAAAGCATTTTATTATGAGTCATTACCTCACTAAATTTCTTGTCACTAGTGGCCATGAAAGTGTTGAACATCTTTGTTTGACTTTCTATCATTTCCTCTAAATTAGGTCTATGTGGAGGTGCTTGTGCATAATAATTATCTTGGGGAGCTTTAGTACCTCTCACATTGAAATTAGAAGCATTTTGATTAGAAAACCCTCTATTGTTGTTATTATTCAAATTGTTCCTAGCATTGGTGTTTCCTTGTTAGTGATATTAATTTTGATTCCCATAGTTCCCTAGATTATTATGGTTATGGTTACCATAACCACCTTGTTGGTTGTAGTTACCTTGGGGATTTTGGTCCCTTTTGGTTCTTATTACCCCCTTGGTTTTGGTTGTGGTAATCATAATCATTATTTCTTTGATTATAGGAATTTCCCCCTTTCCCTCTTTGATTAGGTGGTAGATACCTTTGATTTTCATATCTAGGTCTATTGTCATAAGACAAAACATTGACATGTTCATTTTCAAGTTCATTACTATCCTCATATTGGGGTTGGGGTTGGGAATCATAAGCGCAAGAAGAAGTATCATGATCGTATGAGCCACAATCTTCACAAAAGAGACATCCACTAGGCATGTTATTAGAAGTACAAGGATTAGAATTCATACCTCTCCCCTCAGATTGGGAGGGATGTTCTTGGTATGAAGAGGGAGATTCAAGCTTGGCTTTGATCGATGTCATCTTCTTGCCAAGGTTGGCGATTTAAGATGTTAAATTGTTGATAGCATTGAGGTGATCGACGGAGTAAACCGCATTCCCTCCTTTCCTTGAGGCCTCCCTTTCTCCTTCTTGCCAATCCATATGGTGTCTCACAACATCCTCTATGATCTCGTCACTTGCTCCTCCGTTTTGTTCATTATTGGTCCACTGGCTCCTGCATCCAAACTAGTCTTACCTTGGGGGCTCAAGCCTCCATAGAAAATTTGAAGCACTTGGTATGTGGGTACCATGATGAGGGCACTCCCTTTGATCTTCTTTATACCTTTCCCATGCCTTATATATGGTTTCACTAGCTCTTTGATGAAAGCCTTGGATCAATGCCCTTGCTTCGGCCGTCTTCTTTCAAGAGTAGAATCTCTCTAGGAAAGCCGTGGTGACTTCATCCCAAGTTCTCAAAGAATTGGGTCTTACCTCATTCTCAAGCCACTCTAGAGCTCTTCCTATTAGGGAGAAAGGAAAAAGCTTTAGTCTCACAAACTCTTGAGTGACTCCATTCACCTTGATTATGTTGCAATACTTCTTAAACTCGTTCAAGTGTGCAAGGGGGCTCTCTCGTTCTTTGCTCCACTAAATTGCCTCCTTTCAATCAAATTTATCATCGCAGGACAAATCTCAAAATCATTGGTCGAGGTTGTTGGAGGAGCAATCCCACTTGAGGCTCTATAAGCTCCCGGGGCTCCCAACTCCTTCAAATGTCTTTGCGGTGGTAGTTGTGGGTCACCCATTTTCTCTTGTTGTTCCTCCAAATTGAACTCCCTAGTTGGGGAAGTAGTCAAGGGCCTAGAAACGACTCCCTTTCTTCTTCTATAAGTTCGTTAAATCTCTAGATCGTAAGGAACCAAAATCCTGTTATGGGTTCTGCGCATATGCACTAAAAAATTGCAATTAGTAACAAGGCTACAAGTGTAGCAAAAAAGAAACAAACTCTTTTTGTATTTTTCGTTTAAAGGTGAACAAGACTCAAGCAATCAATTAGCAATTAACAACAACGATCCCTAGTAACGACGCCATTTTGATGGGCGTTAGAACAGTCGCACATTCCACACACTCAAACACAATTATAAGCAAACATCTCACAAACCAAGAACAATGATAAGTAAGAGTTCAGTCCACAAGGAATGGGATATAATCGTTAAAGATCTTAACACGCAAGCTAGTTCAAAGACTTTGGTTGCTTTGCGGGTTTGTCAATTAGACAAACAAGCTATTGTTTCTAAATCAAGTAGATAAAAACACTAGGGAATGCGATCCACTCAACCAATTTAACCAAGCATATTGGGAGCAAATAAAGACAAGAGATATCAAAGACTACATGTAAAACCAACCTCAAGCAATTAAGAATACAACTCACACTCCTAAACTTAGATCCCTCATTAGTTTAGCAATAGGAGATAAATCATCAAATTGCAATAAGTAATGATAAACTTAATTCACATTCCCATGTCAAACCAAGCATATCATGCCATCAAGCCCAAAATCGAGGGTAGCTACTCCTATCAAAGTAAACTAACAAGCAATCCCATATAATCAATTTAATCACAAATCGATCATCAATACTTCTCCCAAAATCACTTAATTAACCATTAGGTTGAGTTTCACCCAACCCCTAGCAAAGAAGCCTACTCACAACTCATTGTGAGTAACATGTAAAGTTCCAAGTTAGTGTTCTAAGTAATTCTAAAATTTGGAAAAGTGATTTATCAAAGATAAAACTAACATGCAACAACAAATTAACAAGTTCAAGAGAGATTCAAAGAGTCTTGCAATATCAAAATAAAATCGGAAAATAGATAGAGACAGGTGAAAGAACTTACTAAATTGAAGCTTCAAAGTTGAGTACAATTGCTGAAAATTAGAGAACAATCCTTGAATTGACTTCCACAATGATTAGATTTGAGAATTTCTACACTAAATCATCAACTAAATTAATGAACTAAGTTGCTAACTAAGAGGAAAGTTACTGAAAACTATTCTAAAAACTGTTGTCTCAAAATGAACAAAAAGGGGAAGTATTTATACTCCCCGAATTACATAGGTAAATCCGTAAAAAAGAAGTCGAATTTCCAGAAAGGAGCGTCCGCTCCATATAAGTTGCGCGCACGCTCCTCTGTCTTCAAATGATGGCAGAATCAGCTTAACAAACCAGGAGCGCCCGCTCCTAAAGGGCTGCACGCCCGCTCCACCTATTTCAGCAGGGTGGCAGATTCAAGAGAACAGGGAGGAGCGCCCGCTTTAGAAGGGGTGCACGCCCGCTCCTCCTGTTTGAGCCTAGAGGTAGATTGTAACAGAGTAACTTGGAGCGCCTGCTCCTTTGTGGGTGCACGCGCCCGCTCCTGCTAACTTCAAATTTGAGGCAGATTGTTGGGAAGATGAAGGAGCGCCCGCTCTTGTGGAGGTGCACGCCCGCTCCACCAGGAGCTGGCTCTCCCTTTTTCCTTTGCTTCCTCTAGAGTCTTCCAAGGTGCTCTTTCTCTTGTCCAAGCTTCACCTAAACCTACAAGCATATACATGCACGAAAAAGCGACTTTGCCAAAATGCAACATTTATATACAAAAGGGGGTTAGAAAGAGGGGAAAAGATTACAAAATCGGGTTAAAATCACCACAATAAGTGGTCAAATCATGCATATACTTTGAAAAATACCACGTGGCACCGTTCCTTCGAAAGGAACACCTTTTAATATATAGTAAGTATAGATATCACTAAACCATAATCCTTGTTTCTCCATACGTACTTATGGGTAATTTTATTTTATTATTATTTTTTAAACATGATTAATATACGCACTATGTACTCTTTAAAACATTCTATTACTCGTATTATTTACCAACTTATTTTGACTTGCTTGGCCATAACCCAATCCTAACCGGTCTCAAACCACCTAGTCGTGGGTCAACATCCAATCGACTCGATAACCCGAATTAACACCTCTTAGTCCAAAAACAGCTGAAAGGGGAGCTGAAAAAGTCTGCCTTTTTTCATAGAGGTGCGCACATTGTAGGCGTCGTCTGTAACTGTCAAATTGTCATTCCCTTATTACAACATATCCGTTTTTACTCTTTCTTTACTATCCAGTGTCTCAACAAAACCCTAATCTACTGCAAACCCTCACCTCCTTCTCTCTCTCCAACCCCACATCAGTCACCACCCCTCTTTCATTTCTGTCTCCTTTCAAGAATCTATCCTTACTGTGTTATTCTTGGTGGGTGTTTGACTATGATCACAACCTACCCATTTTATATAAGCCACAATTCCATTTATCCCCTTTCTTGATCGAACAAATTTGGGTTTTAATGGGTTTTTTCTTGCTTTATTCTAGCTTTATCAGCATTGAATTGAAGTGGGTTTCTGTGTAATTGTCAGAAAAAATAGTTCATTTTTTTTTGTTTGAGTTCTTGGGTTTTAGGTTGAATTGATGGAATGAATTTGTTTTTCTTGAGGTTTTGTTGGTTTATTCTAGCTGAAGAATCCTTGAATTGAAATGGGGGTTTGTGTCAAATTGTGTAATTTTTGAATTTTTTTTTTGTTGTTTTGTTGTTTTGAGGTTTTTGGAGTGAGGGTTTTAGGTCAATTTGATCGAATAAAGGATTGGTTGGTTACGATTCGAGTAATGACAACGGCGGAGAATGACAGTGTTGATGATCGTAAGGAGGTGAACGAGAGTGTAGGTGATGGAGGTGGCCCAAAGTCACCATGGAAAAGACCAGTTGATAAGGTGGCTGATTCCCCTGTTATGGGAGCTGATGCTTGGCCTCCTCTTGCTGATGCTCAGCGCCCTAAGGTCCCTGAAGCTCCTCCGAAATTGCCGGTTTCCGAGGGCGGCAATTCCGGTGGACATCACATTGCTAGTAATGCACAGGTAAAAGACGCTCATTGATGTTGCTTTAGTTGATTAATTTTTTAATAGGGTGAATTCTATCAAATAGTTGGTGATTTATTAAAATTATTTGTATATTGGTTATGTTTAATGTTTGAGGTGACCAAATAAGCATAAGTAAATTGTGATGTTGTTATGAGCGAATTTGATTCAGTGTAAGGGTAATGTATTACTAACTCTACATTTTTTATTATCAAATTCATATGTGTACAGTTAATTAACTAAAATGAACCTATTTCATCCGGATTCACGCCAGTCTATTCATTGTCCTCCCCTTCTCTACTCTTTCTTCCGAATTCCCGACCTCCATAAGGTCCGTGGAAGGTAAGGAAAGCTTTGAATTTGCCCAAATTAAACCCATGATTCAATGTTTCACTTCTCATCCTAGCTCTAATTAATTGAATTTTCCGCTGTTTTCCTTTTCTCTAATGAAGTTTATTGTTCTCCATCGCTATCTTCAATGGAAACTTGTACTCATTGCTATTTTTTTCTACATTGTAATCTTTTGGTCTGATTTAATCCTTAATTTGGTGACTAAGTTTTTGCTATGTGACTATATAATTTGAATTCCTTATGCTATATGCTACTCGTATGTATTTGTAAATCAATTCTCTAGTGAGTAAGAGGAATATTTCGAAACCACATGTAATCAGAATTACATGGCAGATTTCGTGTTGAGTCTTCAATGTGAGAAGATTATAGCTTGCCTCTATTGATTCTCAGTGAACGTTAGTACGGAGTATTAGCTCTAGCCTAGAATCTCAGATGATCTTTGAGGTAATATAATCTATTCTAACGTACAAGATATGACATATCTACCAAAATAACCAATTATGATAATATCATAATATTACTCCAATCTGTTAATTTATACAAAGTATTCATTATACAATACATTATTGGAAAAGCGGAAAAAGAAATATAGTAGCTACATTTTTTTGGTAGCTGTTGAAAAGTCTTCCTTTAATAATGTACTTGATATAAATCTTAATTAGATAATAAGTTTAGATAATAAAGCGAAGATGTGATGGGAGATAATAAGTATTATTTTATCAAAGAAAAGTTTTGATCGATATTTGTGGAGTTGATTTCCCTTAAGAAGACCCTAACTTGTGGTAGTGGGAGGAGAGGTAATTATATAATAGTTGGTCATTGTCTTTAACTGAAGGGGGAAAACTAATTTGCGACTAATGAAGGGGGCACACTATTTGTGATGGAGGGAGTATATGCGGTAGGAATAAAGTAGCGAGATAGAGGGACCATGTTATCAAAAAAGGAAATGAGATCTTTTAGGGACAAACAAAAATGGATCATGGGGCAATTGTTTAGTAACAAAGTACCGTATATGTCACCAATGTATGATAATGGAATGATATCTAGTAGCATAGTAGCTTTAATATCTTGTGGTAATGTTTATCTATGTGATGTCGCTTGCTCATTATGTCATTTCTTTTACAATAAATGAAAGTATGTCAATTATTACATAGTATATGTTGAAGCTTGCGATGGCTCTATAACTTTACTACATTTGGTATGAATTTGACACCGAGATATAATAAGATGTTAAATGTTCTGAAGATAAACTTTTACGGTCATAATTTGAATTATGCTTGTTCTGTTTTGTAGGGCTCTTCTGGGCAACATAAATCTTCAAATGCTAGACATGGGCACAACCATCATCACAGAAATGGATCAAGGCGTAATCCAAATAGTGTGCCTCCTTTCCCTGTTCCTCATGTACCATATTATCAGCCAGTACTGCCACATGTGTTCCCTCCCATGGTTCCTTCTCCTGTTCCGCTTCCTGGATATGGTTACCAGTCATGTCCACCCCCTTTCCCAGGGGCTGAGGCTGGCAGTGAAACTCTCATGCAAAATTTTATTCCATCCAGTCATGGTGTTGATGCCAATAGAAATGTACAATCTCCACGAGATCCAAATGTTAGTGGTCCCAACTCCTCCAGCAGGAGACCCAATGTTCCTGAAGGTGTTGCTCAACCATATCCTTTGTGGCATCATCCCCGAGCATTTGGTCCTAGAGATGGTGTGATGCAGCAAGCCATGGCAAGGGCTTATCCAAGACCTTTTTTTGGGCCAGCTCCATCATTTGTTGGCGGACCAGGCTTCCCTGGTAAACTTTAGAATTTCAGTTCTTATTATTTTTAGATTTATTTAACATGTGATGTGTGCATAAGTTTCTTTTAATAATGTTTGTCTTTTTTCTTTTTTATTTGCCTAATGGTTATCTTCTATTGAAATTAACATGATTAATTTAATCAATATTCTATCTATCAAATTAAATGCTTGACATGATGTTTTGGGGTTGTGATGACTTGTTATTTGAACCTTCTTGTTGGATATTTTGTTTCTCCTTGCTGCTTGACATGCTTAGTCATTAATTGATGACATATTATTGCATTCCATGGGTTGCAGGTGCTGCCCCAGTTTATTATATGTCTCCTGCTCCTCCAGGTTCAGTCAGAGCACCATTCCCACCACAATTTGCTTCACATCCTATGATTTCTATGGCACCCATGCTGCCTCCAGAGACACTAGCATTGAGGGATAGCATAGTAAAGCAGATTGAGTACTATTTCAGGTGTTTATGCTGGTTAATTATTTTGAAATGTCATCCTATATATGACTGTCCTTGTGATAAAAAATCTTTGGATGTTGGAGTTTCAAATCTTTTTTTGTGATGGTGTATGTTATTTAGCAATGGAAATTTTGTGGCAGCTGTAAAAAGATTATCATCTCCTTTTGTTTTATATGTTGTTTGCAGTCAGAGGTTTACTTGTTATTTGCTACAGTAATTTCTATATTCTCAGTTAATTTCAGTCACTTCTGTCATGTGGTATTGTAATGTTAACATTTATGCTGTTTCACTTTCCGATAGTGTTTCTTAAGCAAAGGGAAGCTTTTTTTAACCCTTAATCTTGTGTGTTTTTGGCAGTGATGAAAATTTGCAGACTGACCATTATTTGATTTCTCGAATGGATGACCAAGGATGGGTTTCGATTTCCGTAATTGCTGATTTTAAAAGGGTAATGTGTATTGAGCTGTATATCCTGTAGTTAACCTGCTGCATGTCTTGTTCCTGTTGTTTCCATTATGTTTACTCACCTTCTGCTTATGATTTTAATTATTTATGCTAGTATCCAATTGCATATCTAGAATGTGTATATTTTACTGAATTAAATTATACCAATTACTGACCTCTGCTATTATATTTTGCTGTATCTTTTAGGTCAAAAGAATGAGTTCAGACATATCATTTATTCTAGATGCACTTCAGTGTTCTAGGGCTGTGGAAGTTCAGGTCATGTACTTTCCTTTTTTCTTAAATTTATTATTAAAATCCAAACAGATATTGTTGGTGCATGTGAATATTCTAATTTGGCTTGATTTCTCATGTTAATGTGTTCTCTTTCTCTATTCTTATAAATTGCTTTAAACAGGCTGACAAGGTAAGAAAACGTGACAATTGGTCAAAGTACGTTGCTGCTGTCGAGCATGCATCTCCAATAAAAGCTCAGATTACCAAGGATCAAACTACAGGCATAGTTAATAGCAATGTAGAGAATGATATGCTCAATGAAGCTAGAAAGGATGGTGCAACTGAAGAATCTGTCATTTGTGCACCAAGTAGTGTCAGTGTAGCAAAGGCATCTAGGAATGATGGTAAACTTGAAGGTGAAGATAGTACCAGTGCTTATCAGAGCAGTGAGAAGGCTGTACATGATAGTGATAAGCAAGCACTGGCTCATGAACAGCCGTACTCAAATGAGAAGCTTGGATCCCAAGTGAGTGTCAAATATGAAGCGCCAGATGTGGGAAATAGCTTCATCAATTACAAGCAATTAAAAGCCTCCGAGCCTACAAGGGGTGTTTCTCATGAAATGGACATAGAAGAGCAATGTGAATTTTCAAATGTTGATGATCTATCTTCTGATTTTTCTGGTACTTTTTTGCTTGATGAAGAGCTAGAGATTGAGCGGAAAATGCAAAAACAGGGTGTACATAGATCATTTAGAAGGTATTATCTTTTGTGTCTACCTAAGGTTTCTTGATATCCCTTAATTAATCATTTGACGTGCTACTCTTCATACAAGCTCTAAGTGCTAGTATAAGTTACCAGATTTAAGTCTTATTAATTACAATGGTTTAAATGCCATTGAATTTTGAATGGGAGAATGCCACTTTTGCTATAATCGATATATATAATTGGATGTGCGTTTTGAATTAGGGAAAATGTCTTTTGTCAGGGCACTAAGCCCATTGCCATTCCTAGTAAGGTTTTTACCCTTGCAGTGGTAGTGTCACTCACAGAAACCTAACTTCAGTAGTGTGAACTGTCAAGTATTTTATATGTTAGTGCCAAAATAAGTTTACTTTTTGGCTCATTTTGGTTCCAGTGCCCACACTGTTGTACTATACTACCTAAAGTTCACACACCTGACCCAAACAGGGAGGGCATTTTGCTAACTACAAAAAACAAGATGCCCCACTAGTATTCTTTCTCGCTAGCCCTTATTCAAGTCTTTGACTCAAGAATGAATATCGAGACAACTGTTCCCTTCTCCTACTTTTTGAATCATCACATTGGGCCATTAGGGGAAGCAACTAGAAACTACAGACCTTAAGCCATAATTTATACTTATGACTTAATGTAAGTAAATTAATTTTCAGTATAGCAATTTTTGTTAGCTCTTTTTGATGGTTATATCTGGTTTTTGACTAGTGTTTTTGCATCTTTTTATGTGTCTAATGCTTGAAAGGATTGAGGATGAAGATGAAGAGTTAGTGATCAATGATCAGGATGTTGAGAGACTTGTCATTGTCACACGGGTATGTTTACATAGCCATCTTTCATTTAGATTTATCTTGAAATGCTGTAGTGCTTGTTAGATTTATCTCTTGAAATCATGTTAGCATACAACACATGCTTTCGTTGTTGAACTTTTTTGATTCTATTGTATTAAGTTACAAATAATTCAATAAAAACCAACCTTAGTAAATATAACTAACTAAAAACATCCCCCCACCCCCCCCCCCCCCCCCCCCCCCCCCCCCCCTCTTTTTTTTTTTTTAATGTTTACTCAAAGCCACTTGCCCTCATTGATTACTCTAAGGGGCCGTCTGGGTTAAAGAGGGTAAAAGGAAAGGAATGAAGAAAAGGAGAGATAAGGAAAGGTATGAATTCCCCCAAATATCCTTGTGTTTTGGGTAGACATAATAAAAAGGAATCACTTATTTCTTTCCCTCTGCATTCTATATTTTTCCAGTAGCATACCCAATGTCCCGCCCACCGTACACACTCTCTCTCCTCACTGTTTATTCTTCCATCATCTTCCAGATCTTCACCGCCATCATAACTACACTATCGTTCGACGGCTGCTGATTTTTCCACCACCATCTTGCTCAATTGAGATTTTGATTTTAAAATTTGACTTTAAAATTCCAAAATTCGATTTTTCATGGTCAAATCAGACTATATAAGTCTTAATTCAACGGTTTGTATCTCTTTAGGTATCTCTTTCTCTTATTATATATTCCTCTTCCTTTTGTGATTGAATTCTGATTGGGTGAATTAGCTATTGGTTGGGTGGTGGGTTATTTCGGAAGATGGGATGGATTCTGTGTGGTTGTAGCTAATGGTTTCATAGAGAGGTAGGGTGGGTTGTCTTGGTTGATGTTGCGCTGATTTAGGTTGTTTAAGGGGTAGGTGGAGTTGGAGGTGGGGTGGCTGAGGTTGGGCAGTGACGCGGGGTCAGTGGTGGGGTTGCATGGGGTGGTACCTGGCAGTGTGCGCTAAGGTGGGGTTGTATTGGCGGTTTACTGGTTTGGGCAGCTAATATGTAACAGAATCAAGGGTGTTTATTCTCTTACCTTTTCTTGAATACTTCATACCAAACTCGCCCTAATTATTCCCATCTTTCTTATTTAAGTTTAGTCAGAATATAACTTTTCTACCACCACATATTTTAATGTGCCCCCTCTCTACCTTAGCTCCCCAGTCTCATCCCTCATCAGTCACTGCACTGATTTCTCAATTCCACTGCTGACTCCTTTCTTTCTGACTCTAATCTGCTGCTATTTCCTTGATTTAGAAGATATTTCTGGCAATGATTTTCTCGGCTTCCATAGTGAGACGAGTGTTGTGTAAAAGTATTTATTTATTGGTTCTGTCTTATTCTTTTAATTTCCTTTCTTATTTTATTTATTTATTTTACATATCTACTATCCTTTTCAAGTGATTCTTATGTCTAATGTTGCAATCTCTCAAATACATCAAAAGTGCTTTGAGCAATCTATTATGTGGTTATATTAAAAACCACACATTTTGGTCTTCCTTCATCTCCAATTTTTCTTCCTTCAAATTATTTTGACGGCATAGAAATTATATGGTGACAAGGAAGATAAATTTCTCCATTTATTTTTTTCCTCATAATTTTGGATGCATGATGATAAATGATGTGGTTAAAGACGGATTCCCACTGAAATTCTTTCACAGTTTTTATGTGAAATTTAATTTCGCAATCTTTCCTGATACATTATGCTCTACTAAAATTGCAATTTCTCCCTTTTGCGCCTATTCAATATACTTCAATCTTGAAATGTTTTTAGAATTATGGTAAATCAGTTTGATGCTAGAAATTAATAGCTATACTTGATGGGATCATTTAGAAATACATTTGATATGAAGAGTGAAGACTTGGGAAAAGATGGAAATCACCTAATGGGGAAATTAAGGGCTGGTTCGGGTTGCTGTTAGATTAGATTCACGGGGATTGGGGTGAGTTTGATGGTTAAGCAAGGTCAATTACAGAGGTTTGGTGATATTTGCGTGCTTTTCCAAGTTTCTTGCTAGTCATGTTTACATTTATTTCATTGTGATATCACTGATACACCTTGTAACCTTTGGAGAAGACTTGCGATGTGTGATGTGTAATAAGGCGTGTAGAAGTCCTTCGGTTGAGAGAGGTTACAATTCTTACAAATACGTGACACTTATTGATGACTAATTTGTGGAGTGTTTGACTAGAGTGGGCTCAATGGTTTTTTTAGGGGTCGTTTGGTGGGAGTATGGAACCTTTTAGAATGGAGTTAGAATTAATTCCGTCCTTTTAATTGTTTGGTTAGGCTTTTTAGCCATGAAACCTCATATGAAGAGGGTTCTTACTCTACCTTATCCCTCTAAAATCCCATACCCACTTTTCCCTCTAAAATTCACAATTCATTCCATTAATGAAATGTAGAAACTATTTTTATGAAATGTAGAAACCATTTCTAAATAAACCAAATTACCAAACAACTTTAGACTTATATGGGATTCTATACCAATCCATTCAAAATTAATGAACTAATGTTCCCTTAATGGAACCCCCCTCCCCCCCTCTTATCTACTGTTGGATAAAGTCATAAAGCCACCCTCTTAGCTTCTTACAAGCTAAAGCGGTTGGGGTTTTCCCAAATTAATTCTCTATAGGAGATTCAAAGACATTAGGCTAATATGTCATTTGTAGTCTCCTCTCTGTGAAATATAGGCTGTGCTCCAATTGGATATCTATATGGTGCCTTTTGATTTTTAGTTTAATGTTGAATATGCTTTTTTATAGAATGCCTAGTCTAAGCCCCTTTTTGCTCCAATAAGCCAAACCAAGATATTTTCTAGTTGCGAATTGGGTGTAGAAATAAAAGGGTTATTTGGTTACACCTTCGATTGTATTATTTTATTCTTGCTCTAAAATATTGTTGTTTTGATGTTGAAAGGGTTTCTCTTTACCGTTCGTAATGAATTTTGATTTTTGAGGTGCATGGGCATAAAGAAGTTTTAATCGTAGGTTCAATTCTTGCATGTCAAGGTTTTGTAAATGGAAATTTGTTTAACAGGAAAGAGAAATATGAAAAAGGGTTAAATGGTCAATGGCGAACCATTTAATGGCTTTCCACCTCTACCACTTGACTGAGTGACTTACCCTCCCACGTCATATTATAAATCTCTTTGAATCCTTAAACTCATTCTTTTTTTTTAGTACTTGTGCCGCACTGCCTCTCTCCTTTGCTTTCCTATTCAAATACTAGTAGATGTCTTATGCGGCCCTACTTTCCCTTTGTATCTGTGATCCAATAGGTTTTACCTCTGCCCCTCCCCTTTTTTCTTCCTGTTCGAGTGTATGACTTTGTCTGGGATTTTGCTCTATCTTCCTTTCTCTTTGTTATGGGGAAAGAAAAGAGGAAAGATAGAAGTTGACAAGCATGGGATGTAGTGGTGGTATTGATCTGTTCAGCTTTTGGTGGTAGTAGGGAGATTTTGTTTTAAAATTCTTCTCTCTATATGAATTATAGTTATAAATAAGTTGTCCAAACCATTGACATGTTTTAATGATTATTTTGCATTCTTGGATGATCACCTTGCCACTTTTGTTGGACTAAGTTGCTAATTGAAAGTCGAGAATACCAAATACGATTTCACCTTATGTGGCTCTGTTGCATGTGGTACTGAATTTGTTTCCTTGTGGAAGGATTTACAATCGTTGTTAATCTTGTCATGGAGTTAGTCATTTAATATTTAAGGCATCATTCTTCTGCTTAGGTGAAAAGTATTCTATGCTGAGAAAGATTCTTATCCTAGTATTGGTTGTATAAAATGACCAACAAGGAGCCAGCAGTGTAGCTTTGCAAAATGTCTTGATATGCTTTAATATTAACATTATGGGCTGATTTTCCATTTTGGATTCTGAAGTAGTTTTATAAATTACACAGGGATTCTATTAATTTTTGTTACTTATCCAGTCTTGTTAATGAAATTTCCCCTAATCTCGTAGTCAGAACTCCGCTGCATAAATACCAATTCAGCAGTAATCTCCACAACACAGGCGCGCGCGCACACACACATGCGCGCACTCACACACACACACAAGACTTTTGGTGGTAGTGTGCTCTGGGATACAATCATCTTAATTTTTCATAGCAATAAATGAATGTATAAATTAAATTGCACTAAAAAATTCTCTGTGCATCCATCACAAATTTACCAAGTATAAATAGGACCCTTGTAAGGCTGCAATGCTGCATCCACTGTATGACCTGTTCTTGGAAAAGAAGACGGTTAGTGTGATGTTGCTGACATACACCAATATGACCACCAAGCTTTCTTGCTAATTCTGATATTGCTAGTTTTACAGCCTCAAGTTATTATCCTTGTATTTTTCTTCTTATTCTATATTGAAGGAAGATTCCATTGCATTTTGATAATTTTCTCCACCTATTCTGGTAAGGAAGATTTGAGAATAACCACGTTCAAAAAGCCACTATTTGTAGATAACCACCTTAATATTTTTTTGTATTTAACCACCATTAAAAAGAAAATATTATAGCTTTTACCACCACATAACGGTTTCCTTCTAGGAAACTGTTAATGGGCCCCGACCTACCTTTAAGGTTTGGGGGGTATTTTGGTTCTAAAGGGTTCAAATTGAGCTCGGAATTGTAAAAAAAGCAATAGAAATGCTTCGTTTCGCTTGCTAAGAAATGTCTTGGTTTGCGTGTCTATTTTTTTTATTTTTATTTATTTATTTATTTTTTAAGCTAGGAAAATTGTCTGGTTAAGTTTTAGGGGTCATTTTGGCTCTAAAGGGTCCAAATCGAGTTTGGAATTGTAAAAATAGCTACAAAAATACCTTGTTTTACATGCTATGAAACTAAAACCGTTTTGTGGTGGTAAAAGCTATTAATTTACTTACTGCTATCCTCTTTGTGCACTACATTTTATTTAAGCAGCATGCGTAGAAAATTCTGAGGCTATTTGTCGCCTGTAGAAATAGAATAGTTGTTTTTTTATATTACTTGGTATTGGAATCAAAAGTAATTCAGGAAAGTAATGTTTTAATCTGATGGAGACTACAACATTTTTTTTTTTTTTTTTGACTTTAAAATGATAGAATTCTGTTATTCTAAAGCATCCTACTACTGTAGATTGGTTAGTGAGTAGGATGGGAACATTTGGACGTCCACTATGTCAGATCAAACCAATGGTACAGCTCTCTAGATGTGGTTGTAATATATAGTAGCTTCACTTATCACGTGCCTGCACTTTGAGCAATGAAGTTAGTAGGAGTAATTAAGAGTTTAAGATGCATGCATTGGCATAAGTACAGTTTTATATGTTCAGTACTTTTCAGATCTAACAAATGATTTACTTTTGAGTGTTGCTGTGGAGTAAGCTATGAATGTTGATAACTTTGCAGAATAGCAGTCTGCTTGGAGCTGGAAATGAAGTTCAGAAATCTAATAGAATATCCAATGAGCTTGCATCTGAAATCAACGATGGTCTTTACTTCTATGAGCAGGTTCTAAACAGCAAATAATTTGCAATGTTCTATGAAATTTCTGAATAACTCTACTGCCTGTATTGCATATTGGGGTAACAAAAGGAGAAGTCAAGAATTTTTTGAACAACTTTTACAACTTGCCTCCACACATTGCTTTTTCTCTCTCTTTATAAAGACTATTTATAGAATTATTTTGCTTTCACCAAATCTCATGGTACCCTGCTGATCATTTTTCTGATTTTGAGATGAGGAGTTTTAATCATGTTGCAGTAGTTTATGCTGTCTCTGTCATTGTCAGGAACTCAGAACAAAAAGGTCTAATCGCAAAAAGATGAATATTAATAAGGAGGACAAAGATGAGAGCTCTAAGTCGCCTAATATTCGAACTGGTGTAGTGAACATCAGGTCTGTTGAAAATTCTTCTGGTGGTCAAGGTTGTGATGAGATTGGAAGTCATGTTAACAGAAGTAAGCAAAGCAAAGGGTCTGCTAAACAGCAGTCAAGCCACAGACAAAGATTTTTCTCAAATAATTCCAAGAACCATGGAGGAGGTCGCAACTCCTTTGGAGTTATATCAGAAAGTCCTCCAAGTAATTCGGTTGGATTTTTTTTCAGTTCTACTCCACCTGAAGCTCATAGGTATGTTTAGGGAATCGAGTGGTATGTACAAGCTTTATGGGTTTAGTTGATATCCTGTCTGCACCAACCGTCGACTAATTATTGCTTTAGCCTTGAGAAAATCTTTGATCTATATCCTTGGCATGCTTATTATCTGTCATATGCTTGAGTATCGAGATGTTTTTAACTCTAATCCGCACATAAAAGCTATGTGACTAAATTTTTGGATCTGTATTTTTTGCCAGTCTCAGATCTTCAAAATTGAGTGGCTCGCCACATGGAAATGTCGCAGCAAGTAGCCCTCCGGTTGGCTCCTTGCCAAAATCCATTCCTCAGTTTCAGCATCGAAGTCACCAGTTATTACAGGAAAATGGCTTTGAACAGCAGAAGTAAGCTATGCTCTGTGTTTCGTCCTTGCATTATAACCTAATTTTTTTGTTATATTCATTCTATTTTGGTCAGATCAAATTCCTGTTTAAATTTTCTGGGCATGTGTGGCATCTAGCTGTATCTGTTTCTTTCCGTGGGAATGTGAAAGCATTGCGAAAAACTTGTTGATTGTTGTGAAGTTTCGGTTGATGAACTTGTGTATTTACTTCATACCCTTGCTAATTCACCTAGGTACCGGAAGTATCAAAAGCGGTGCTTAAATGACCGAAAGAAGTTAGGAATTGGGTGTAGCGAGGTGAGGCTTCTATAATTCACTAAACATGTCTTTCCACTCTCTTGCATTGCATTTATTTTTTACTGTTGAATCAATCAATCAATCAAAGTCTTAATCCCATAAGTGGGGTCGGCTACATGAACCAAAAATGATTATTCCGTATAGTCATCTACTAAAATCTTCCTTCTCCATCCCTTACGATCAAATGTCTCAATCTCATGCAAATCCATATATTTCATATCCTTCATAACTCCTTCAAATCATGTCATTTTCGGTCTCCCTCTCCCTCGTTTAACCCCTCCATGGTCCCACTTTTCCACTTTTCGTACTGATGCACCCTCGGGTTTCCGTCTTACATGCCCGAACCAACACAGACGATTTTCCATTAGTTTGTCTGCAATGCGTGCCACACACACTTTATTGCGAATAACCTCATTTCTGATTCTATCTCTTAAAATGTTCCCGCACATCCATCTTAACATGCACATTTTCGTAACCTCCATCTTTTTAATGTGCTCCTTCTTAGAAGCCCAAAATTTTTTCTTTTCCTTCAACTGTAAGGGAATGCTATGGGTCATGTCTTGATCATTGTTACCATTTTTCTGGATGATCGACCCAAGATTTTTAAAACATTCACTCATAAAGTCCTTTCCGTCCAAGCTCACTACGTCATCGCTTGTCCCCCTCTGTGTACTAAAGCGGCATACCAAATATTTAGTCTTACTCCGACTTAGCTTAAACCCTCTAGATTCCAACCTTTGCCTCCACTGCTCCAATTTGGCATTAACCCCATCTAAAGTTTCATTCACCAAAACGATATCATCCGCAAACAACATACACCATGGAACCTCATCTTAAATTAGCCTGGTTACTTCGTCTAGAATCGTTATTATTTACTATTGAATGCACTATAATTTTATATGGACTAGTTTTAAAATTTAAATGCTTGCTCATGATATCTGTTTTAGGCTATTGCCTCATATATCTTGCAATATATCATCGTTGCCAAGTCACATATATCATATTATCAACATATGGAATATTAGTTTTCAAAATTTATTGTTGTTGTGGCAATCTGTATGAACATATATATACACGTAGTCTAACATTCTTTTCTGCAGGAAATGAATACTCTGTATAGATTTTGGTCATATTTCCTTAGAGATACATTTGTTCCCTCAATGTACAACGACTTCCGGAAATTTGCTCTGGAGGATGCGGCTGCTAATTACAATTATGGACTGGAATGTTTGTTCAGGTTCTATAGGTATGCTGAACAATCATCTCCCTTTCCCGAATACAGGAATATAATTCTACTTAAAAATATGATCGATAATAATGATCTATTAGCAGCAGTTTGCTCATATGTTAACTTGCCAATATGCATCCTTGGTCATGTGTGTTTCCAACTTTACATAGTGTTCTTGATGGATTAAAAAAGGACCCGGTTTGGACTACATAATGTATGTTTTGACCTTTTTTCTATTTCCAGCTATGGGTTGGAGAAGAAATTCAGCGAAGACCTTTATGGGGATTTTGAGCAGCTTACTCTCAATTTTTACAAGAAAGGCAATCTTTATGGACTTGAAAAATACTGGTATGTTTAGTTATTTTTCTACTTAACTTGAATGTTTATCGTCGGATGTAGAGGCTGTGATTGGTGTTTTTTGTTCCAAGCACATTATGGTAAAGAAGATCTGTGCGTGTACATTTTTACTTGAAGGCCCTTGTTCAAGAATAGTACTTCCTCCGTTTTTTTAGTTGACACGTTTTGACATTCACACACTTTCCTTTGACTGTGTTTTGAGATTTCTACCTAATGAAAAATATAGTCATGTGGGATCTTGTTAGATTTGTCACGATATTTATTTTCAAAATATCAACTTTTTATAATTTTGCTTATCAGTAATTAAAGATATTAATAGTTGAATTTGTGCATTGACAAACATGACTAAAGAAACGTGTCAATTTTAAAGAAACTGAGGAATTATTTTGGTATTGGCCAAGTTAAAATAAAAAGGATTTCATTGGGTAACTAATCCTTGAGAATTTCATTAATATTGGTAGCTTTTGGTGTCACTATAGGTTTATATTTTTTTTCTTTGTGGATTTATATTAACTATTGTTGATATTGTTTTGTTTGGGGATGTAAAAGTGTTGCGATGAAAATGAATTTAGATATCCAGTTGTTTTCCAATGAAAAGATGCATGAAACATTGATTGAATCTTCATACAACCCACTTCATGTTTTAGTTGTACAACTTTTTATTATTAATCTAAAGTTAAGACTAAATGGGAGCCTTAAGAACCTGATCAAACTTGTTCGTGTGTTACCTTGTTTTGCAACGTGTCAGGGCATTCCACCATTACCGGGAAGTACGTGATGGCAAAGAACCCTATAAAAAGAATCTGGAGTTGGAGAGGCTGCTTAGAGAGGAGTTTTGTAGTTTAGATGACTTTCACCGTGCCAAAGAGAAGCCTGAAGTGAAGGATGACAATCTGCCATTGGTATCGACGCCTGCCCCTATACCGGCTTAAGTGCGAGTGCCAATCCAATTTTGAGAAGCAATGTCTAACATCATAGATGAAAAGAGGCCGAGCTCGCTGCCAATTTGTTTCTCCCGAGAGTTTTGCCTGTGGATTTTGGCTGATTTGAGGGTGTATCACCTGATGGATTCTTTTCAGGCTAGTATACCTCCAATCATCTCCTTTCTTTAATCCATTGGCAGTCTTTCAATGTTTGACCCCTTACTGTTGTCCTGAGGTATTTTAAAGCTTGGAGAGGCATCTGTGCATTGGATTTGACTCTTTTTTTTGGGAGTAATTTGTACATATAGAGAATTGTTGGACCCAAAATAGAGGAAAACTTTGAAACAAAAAAAAAAAAAAAAAAAAAAAATAGATAACCAATTGACTACAGAAAAATGTTTTCCAATCCTTTTCAAGTGTTCTTTGTGTTTTCAATTATTTCTTTTCTGCTGTACAAATGTCACAGGCGCGTGTATACTTCGACCTGTTTTGCGTGAGATTTTTGTGTAGGCCTGAATGTGAAAAATTGCCACACCGTTCGTGAAATGAAGTAAAATATTGGTAAGTGGAGTATGGAGAATAACATGCAGAAATGACAGTGGGATAACTCTTTAGTCAAGGAAAATGAAAGTGGGTTGAGGTTGGTGGTTTGGGTTTTGATCGTGGATACTAGGGTTGCAAGAAATCTGCTGTGTTTAGTTTGTTTGATCTAAGTTTGATAAAAGTTATTACTGTTTGGATTATATTGACCTTGAACGAGTTTTTTAAAATCTTGTTTGAGTTTTGCTCATTGAGTTTTGACTTGTATGGGACCTTCGAACGGAATCTGGCCATTGACAAAAAAATTTCCGCTGTTTATCACGGTACTACCCACGTGACATTAAAAACCCTTCTTCTCTTTTTCCTCCTTCCCGACCACTTGGCACCATTGTTCTCTCTCCTCTTGATTCCCCTGTCATCACCTCCACCGCAACCACCTGATAGCTAACCCACCACTACCTCATCAACCACCCCCTATGTCATCCCTTCTTTCCTCTCCTTCGAAACCCTATATATTCCCAAAGAAATACCCACCCTAGTGTGACACTGTGACCCTACCCACCTGTAAACCCCTAATGAAACCACACCACTCTTAATCTTGGTCGCCGTTGCTCGTAGATTGCTACGATGGCGTGTTTTGAAGTTTTTAGATGGGTGGGAGGGTTTTCGAGGGTGGTGGGGGTTTTTGTTGGTGGTGTTTGATGCAGATGACTTAGGAGTCGTGGTTTAGCTTTCGGGTGGTAGTGTTTAATTAGGGTTTCAATGGTTGTTGCGATGATTGTGATGGACGGGGTCGGGTGATGAGGAGGGGAAAGAGGAGGAGAGAGAACGGCGGTGCCATGGTGGAGGAGGAGAGACACGATGGTTTTTTACTGCCACATGCGTGACACGTGATATTCAACGTTGGAAAAATTTGGTCAAGAGTTGAATTTCTTCCAAAGGTCTAATCTCACAATTTTATTTATTTTTTTATTTATTTATTTTTGTTTAAAATAAGGTCCCAATTTTGCCACTTTTCTTTTTATAAGGTCCTTTCTCACAAATAAGCTACTAAAAATGGTCATTTCTCACAAATTTTCCACATATTTTTTGTTATTTTGCTCATAAGAAAACGAGATTCTTGCTAAAATATTAATAAACAACTTTAATTGACCAATACATATACTTAATAGAAATATTATGAGCGCTCACAAATAAAATTAAGTTGTTCACTCTAAATCACCATTAAAAGCCGACCTAGCAACATAATTGTAATTGTAATTGTGTACTATCAGCATATCAAAACTATAAAGATTAAACTTATAAGTTTAAACAGTCATAATAGTTGAGTAAATACCAAAACTTAATTTTGTAATAAGAATAACTCATCATTTATCAATCATTGAAAAGTTAATATTTCAATTTGCTTAGCTAACTGGAAAACCATTTACCAAATATTTGCTTTCTTCGTTGTTTGATCACTATCAAAAGATATAAGCAAATAAAAACCCGTGTAAAAGACATTTATCAAACATAGCCCATGTCAAATTATGTAAAAAATAAAAAGGAGACTAGTTTCAAATATACGAAATTTTGGTCAAGTCGAGTCCATTTGCTAGGTTTACATGTTGAACTCGTGGAGACTAGAGAATGACTTACCACCCTCGAAGTTTACATTATAATACATTAAATAAAGCTGAACCATGGTTTGATACATTTTATTTATGAATTAACTTTTTTTTTTTTTTTTTCACCAACTTAAAAAAGACAACCTTTTGTCCTCTATAAATATATCCCCACATCACAAGCAACTTTCTACTCCAAAACAAAGGCAATATTAAACCTCTTTCTATTTGAAGAAACCACCAAATCAAAACAAGGCATCTTACTAAAAATAAAATACAAACGAGCAATGAGGCTTTCTGCTTCAGTCTTCGTACTTCTTCTAATCCTCCAATTTACACTGCATGAACAAATCACTTTAGCTAAGAAGGTAATTAAACCAATAATTATTAACTTATTTCCTTAATTAATTACTTAAAAATCTCCTGCTTTTTTGTTCAACTTTACTAATCAATTTAGTACGTCAATATTTAGTCCTATGTAGTGTACATGGGAGCTCATTCACATGGACAAGAAGTGTCTGAATTTGATTTACATCAAGTCAAAGAATCACATTATGAGTTCTTGGGATCCTACCTTGGAAGGTACTTTCATCTTTTGGTAGTCGCTATATAACACATTACTCGTTTTGTTTTATATTATCTGACCACTTAACTAAATTATTTATGTCTCATGTATATTTTCTGTTAATTTAAATATCAATGTATTATTACTTACCAGTTCTTAACACCAATGCAATAACTAATACCCATGAATATGTATTTACTAAAATAGTCGCAGTGACGCGGAGGATGCAATATTCTACTCCTACACAAAACATATCAATGGCTTTGCAGCCGTTCTCGAGGAAGAACAAGCATTAGAAATTGCAAGTATGTAACAACACACTTCTTGCATTTTTGTAATACTATATTTTCTATGAAAATGTAAAATAATAATTTGATCATATCATCATAAATGGGATATAGAGCATCCAAATGTGATCTCTGTATTTCCAAATGAGGGAAGAAAATTGCACACAACTCGATCATGGGATTTCTTAGGGCTCGAAGATGATGGAAAAGTGCCCCCTTTTTCAATCTGGGAGAAGGCAAGATTTGGTGAAGACACTATTATTGCCAACTTTGATACTGGTTAGTTATTTTGTTGTTTTCCCAATATTAAATGAAATATGATATGAGATAATTTAATATATATTCCGGCCTCGATCTAGTTATTGTTGTGAGTTTTCGGTGTTATAATGCATTTCTTTTTTAATATGTTATATTACATCCAATCTTAGAGTTGCATTTAAGCATTGAATATATTTTCTAATACTTGTATAAGTTTAGAAATTTATGACAGAATCACGACGTTAATTAGTGTTAATTAATTAGTTTTAATATTTTCTTTTCTAATACTTGCATAAGTTTAGAAATTTATGATAGAATCATGACGTTAATTAGTGTTACTATTACTAATACAAATTCCTAAAAAAAAAAAAAAAAAAAGTTACTAATACAAATAGTATAATCTTTACATTGAATCTAAATCTGATAATTGGCATTATGGCACTATGGCCTAGGAGTCTGGGACAAAGCTTTAGCTAATCAACGCCTTGTTAATTGACAAAAAAAATTTCCTAAAATAAAGATTTAAGTTTATTATATACGAAGTATCAAAATATACTCTTACATTTATTTCACACGTTGAAAATTCAGTGCAAATAATATGGCAGGCTGCTCTCGATCTAAGAAAATAGTAATACAATGGTGAAGTGTCAATTGTCAAGTCCATGTTGTCCACATCGTCTTCTAACTTCAAATGATCAATTTAGTACATAGAATCACATTTTTCATTAATAATAATGTTAGAAAATTCAAAGATGTCATTATTTGTAGAATGAAAATAATTTTGCAAATGTTATTATTAATGTTACATTTTTATTATAATCATATTCAGGAAAAAAAAAAAAACAGTTCGATCTTAATTTCATTTAAATGTACTACAGACAAACTATTTAAACTTTCAATTTTCGTATGAGTATTTGTATAGAGTTAATTAGAGTGTCTTAACTCGAATATAATATGACATTATTAAAACGTAAGGCATATGTTTTGAGAATATATACACCTTAGTTGTCCTATACTAGAATCTAAGCTTTGTGTCAAGATGATTTTGATTATAGGTTTTTTTTTTTCTTTTTTTCTTTTTTTTTTCATTAAATATGTTGTTAAATACCAACTTTTTTTATATTTTTTGGTAACTAAATATCTAAATTTCATAATTTACGTAATTTAAGATATACTTGGTCAAAAATGTGTTAAATAAATACCGTGTAAAATATAATTGAGTCAAAAAAAGAAGGAAAAATTGGTTTTAATAATCTCAACTTTGACCAATTTTATTTAAATAATCCCAATTTTTTATTATTCCGGAATAATCCCAACCTATATATGTATCTTCTTATAATAATTCGAACTTTTATTTTTGTTATACATAATAGTCCCAAAAGGGATTAGCAAAAGCAACAAAATAACACTTCGGATTATTTTAGGAAGATACCTATATAAATTGAGATTATTCCAAAATAATCAAAAGTAGGGATTATTTAAAGAAAATCAGTCAAAGTTGGGATTATTAAAACCATTTTTTTTTTTTTTAAATAAAAGAAGTACCACACAGTAAAGGTAAAATGTGTGTTGCGTTAGTAGCTGCCATGCAGAAAGGTTTGACCACATAAGTAGGCTAATCATGGTTTTGAGATCCATAATCAACAAAGTAATTAGAAAATATTGGTCATGCAGGATTAGATTGATGACCAATGAAATAGTCTTTGTTTGAGAATGAAGGCATCAAAGCACATGTGTCTCGTCAATATTGGCGTGCATGCAAAGAGCCACTCCTCTGTATTTTGTCGCCATAATATGGCCAATTGGAAAGGAGAGGTCATACATTAAAAAAAAAAAACCAACCTCCAATTTTTAATTTTTTTACATATATTAAAAAGAGGGATTGGAGAGGACCATATATATTGCTTAGGACTAAAAGATTACATTTTTTTGGGTATGTCAATCCCAATGAAGTTCTTTATTGTTGATGAATGGATCATATAGTGTATACCCAAACACCTTATCAATGATTATCGGTCGGGATTCTATTTCACAAATATGGTTACACTTTAAATTTTATCATTGTTCTCAAACTTTATCTTGACAATTGTTTAAAAAATTATAGACACGTTTGATCCTATATAATAAAATTTTCTTATTATAATTTTGCAAATTTCCTCTATTTAAAACAATTTTCATGTATTCATTTTTATGATATAATTCATCACATTAAACATTAATGTTACTTAAAATTAAAATT